GTTTTAAAGGTCTTCGGCTTTTACAAGCATCTATAACATAGTTTGCTTCAACATAGTCATGAAAAACTCATGCCAACGTCCGGGATGCCGTTTTGCTGTTGCAACTGGCATGCAGTGCGACAACTGCAAAGGTTGGTTCCACGAAGCATGCACAAATCTGACATCAAATGCTTACAACAGACTCAGCAAGTCACACCAAAAATGGGTATGTGTCACGTGCAGCACGGATGCTGTAGTCTTGCTGAGTAACATCATTGTCCTACTGACAGGTCTTCGGAACAAGTTGTCAGTTAACTCGGACAATGATAGTAAAAAAACCGGTAGACAAACAAGAGCGTGTGACGGATACAAAAACAGGAATGTCGATAGGTATACCATCAATGGAGCATCCATCAACACTAATGATGACGTGTCGAGGCTCAGAACCATCATTACATCGAAGGTATTAGACTTCCTAAGCAAACTCGGGTCTCCCAGCTCAGGGTCCCTGAACACAACAGTGGTTCCCAAAAACCCTGTAGGTGATTCGACCCACGTTAAGAGAGCCCAAAAGAACCAGGCATCACCGCCTATGCCGAGCAACCCAAGTGTTGCTGTACGGAAATTAACTGGTGATTTGGTCGCACAGTCTACTCTCAAGACTGTTCATCCGGTCAAGAAAGAGCCCAAGCCTCAAAAACGCACACTGACCTCCAAACAGCAAGTCATTAAACATGAACCCATCGTGAAACCTGGTAAATTAACAACAGTTCGTGACGACTCTCTCATTATCATGAACCTCGTTGATAATCCTGACCTTCCTCTCAGTCTGCAGGACAAAAACGACAGGATGCTCTAGGGTGAATTGAACAAGAAGCTCGAACTTCCTAGAATAGAGCCTTCAATGGTCACCCGGCTCACTCGAGGAAAAGACTCTAAGCATCTAAATCACCCAAGGCTTCTCCGAGTAACACTTAAGAATGCTACGGATGTAGAGGACGTCTTACTAGCAAGTCACTTGCTGAAATCAGATGGTAACGTAAGAATATTGCCCGACATACTGTTCTCTGAGCGCAATATCATACGAAACATCCCTAAAGAATCTCGCGAGAAGTTTTTCTGCGGAAGAAACATAATTGTGCAAGGTATACCGGAAAATGCAGACCTTACTCAAACGAATTCTGACATCAGGGAATGGAAATTCATCAAACAGTCCTTGAGGCTCAAACACATACTGACTCAGCATGTGACGAGATTAGCCGAGAAGGACGGTGATTCTAGAACCCGTCTAATGAAGATAAACTTCCCATCTTCCCATGTGGCGGCTGCAACTCTGGAAGCATTTCGTGCCAACAGAATTCGACTGCGACCTGGAATCCACATGCACCCGGATAGGCCATACGTTGCTAGGACCAAACACAAAGGCAAGTTGGAGCTGACCATTCCACTTTTGGACAATCTAGACGATTAAAAAAACGTGTGAAGGACAGGGCCAACCACCTCGGCAAACCTCATATAGGTGGGTTACCTGTCCATTCAAGTAAGGCTCATACAGACAAACAGGAAGAAGCTCACGCGTTCCAAATTGAAAGCATAAACTGCTTATATATGAACGCCTCGAGTCTACCAAACAAACTGGATGAAATACGTGAACTTTGCAACGCTAATAAAGCCCACCTGATATGAATATGTGAAACCTGGATATCTTCTCAGTTCTCGGAACAAGAGTTAGCACTACCAGGGATGACTTTGTTCCGCAACGACAGAATAACAGGAATTGGGGGCGGAGTAGCCATATACATACGTTCTTGCTTGGAGGTACATCAAGTTCACAACCTCTAGTTTAACAATCTTGAACAATCTATGATGCTTTGTAAGATTGTCAAGTACTTTGAGGTGTCTAGTCGAAGTCATTTACAGGAAGCCAACTGCCGAAATCGAGTACGATAGTCGTATGCTGGAAGGACTATCCCGCTCTACTCGTCTCGGTTTCACACCCATCCTGATTCTAGGGGACATTAATCTCCCTAGAGTCAACTTCGCGGAACACATGTATGCTGGGGGCGAGAACTCAATTAAAGCTCGGTTCTTCAACTTCATCGATGACTTGAGATTGTACGAAAATGTGAGGTCGGCAACTCGTTGGAGAAACAGTCAGATACCATCGCGCTTAGACTGTGTATTCACAAACCAAGAATTCCTAGTTGACAACCTCTCAATCCTGGCTCCTCTGGGAAAAAGCGATCACCTCGTCATAGCCTTCAGTTTAGTCAGCAAAATTAAGCTAAGATACCCCACCAATATCTCGCGTTAAAATTTTAAACGGTTGAATGTGCCAGCTTTACACGACTATCTACAACAGGTGGTGTTCACCCCCAACTCGATGTGGACGGTCATTGGGACTTCTTACTGCACACGCTCTTACGTGCTACAAATCATTCAGTTCCTCAAACCGTTCCCAAAAGCTGCAAGCCACCTACAATAATCAATAACAGTACCCTTCGCCTGCTAATTTGCAAAAGGCACTGTTGGGCGGAATACAAACGAACTGACAACGACGGAGCGTACAGGCAATATAAACATATCAGGAACATATGCACGAAGGCTATAAGAGAAGACAGGCTTCATTATCAGACAAAGCTTATGGACAAATTTGCCTCGAACCCTAGAAGCCTATTCCGTTATGCAGCCTCTCTTCGTCAAGCCAAAACAGGAGTTTCTCAACTGCTAGGTCTTAACGGCCCGACCAACAACGATGGCGACGCCGCTAACCTTCTGTCGGCACATTACTCTCAAACATTTCAGCCGGCTGACATCAACTTTATTGACGACAGTTTCATCTGCAATTCCACAGGGCTTTCCGAAGTGGACCTAAGCGCTGACTTGGTGTCCCGGAAACTGCAGCACTTAAGATCAGACACTTCTCCTGGCCCGGAAAAGGTCCATTCCGCCATACTGAGGGAAGCAGCCTCAATCATGGCAACGCCGCTTAGCGTGATGTTCTCACACTCGCTTAGTCGAGGAAAACTACTGGAAAATTGGAGGCTGGCTCACATCACATCAATTTTCAAAGGAGGTCAACGCAGCGAACCTTCAAGTTACCGACCGGTGGTTTTTCTCTCCATACCCTCAAAAATCATGGGGTCCCTGACATGCGGTAGTATGCCCATTTACTGTCCTTAAATTTCTTCGCACCTCAACAGTATGGTTTCAGGAAGGGTTACTCTTGTATAACCAACCTGCTGACTGCAGTGGACAGATGGACAAGCATCCTCGATCGCAAGGGAAAGGTTGATATCATTTACCTTGATTTCTCAAGAGCTTTTGATAAGGTTAACAATACATGTCTTATCAATGAGCTCAAACGACTAGGTATCAAACCACCTCTAATCGATTGACTTACTTCATACCTAGAACATCGACACTTTAAGGTTAGGGTTAATATCACTTTATCTCAGGCTATGGAATGTCCTAGTGTAGTCCTTTAGGGCTCAGTATTAGGGCCTCTTCTGTTCTTGATCTACATAAATGATCTTCCTCAACAGGTAACGTCAGAATTATTACTTTTTGCCGACGACGTGAAACTTTGGAGAGAGATACGCAACCAAGGCGATGCACAGGCACTTCAGGAGGATCTGACCGGACTTCAAGGTTGGGCAGACGATAACGGACTTACCTTCAAAACTTCAAAGTGTAAAGTAGTCAATCTGCTACATGTCGCAAACTACAGTTATAACTTAGGAAACTCCTATCTAGTAGTATCCTAAGTCGAAAAAGATTTAGGAGTCCTGGTGCCCCATGATTTAAAGTCTTACGCTAATTGTGACAAAAATGCCTTCCGAGCAATCCTTGCACTGGTAACGTTGAAGCGCATTTTTGGCCAGTTTGACGGAAGAACTTTCCATACAATCTTCAATAGTTTTATCCGTCCCCATTTAGAGTACGTAAACATAGTACTCCCCCCTCACTCCAAAAGGACAAGGTCACTTTGAAGCGTATCCGACGGCGAGCCACGAACTCAGTTCGAGAACTCAAATCTAAGCCTTACGAAGAACGCCTCCATTCACTAGACCTTTACCCATTAGAGTATAGGCGTCTTAGAGGTGATTTATTAATGGCTTATAGTATTCTCAACACTTCTGGACATCCTCTTAAACACCTAATTAAGCTTAGTTCGAATACTAACCTAAAGGGTAACACCCGGAAACTGGAAACTCAACATAGCAAGACGGGATGCAGACACAACTTCTACTCCTTAAGAGGTGTCAAAAGCTGGAATTCGCTGCCGGCCGAGCTAGTCCAAGCGACTTCTCAGGAGTCCTTCAAGAGGGAACTTGACCTATTCTTAAGGACCAAGAACAGTATCACACTATGATTTACCAATTTCTTTTCCTCTTTTCTTGTTAACATACCTAGGTTCCTGCCTGGAGGATTTGGTGATCCCCTGCTACTAGACACGGAAGCCTGTTAAGCGAAAGCTTCTTCTATTCTGTCCACAACCATTTGAACCATTTGAATTTGAACAAAACTTTGAGGCAACACCCAGGAAATGAAGGCACAATACAGCAGAACCGACTATAGGCACACGTTCTATTCCTCAAGCGTAGTCAAATTCTAGAATTAGCTTCCGACTGAGCTGATCCGAGCGACTTCACAGGATTCTTATGCGAGAAACCTTGATATATTATTAGGGACTATTAACAGCATCTCATAATAAAATTCTCTCTTTTGTCGTTAAATATATCTAGACTCATATATGGAGGTGTCTATTACCCAGATACGGAAGCCCGTAAGGCGAAAGCTTTTATTTAGTCTGGTACATATTTAATTCGGATTCTCGTAGTGAATATAACCAGTCTATACTAGATGTTTTGCCCTCGTACGAGTACGTTTATCCTGTAGGCATGCCTTGATTAGTCTTTACATAAAGTAAACCTTTATTAGCTCTGCATCCATGCCTTCAGAAACATTTGTTAAAATAAGCTGATGCTCATTAACACTTTCGCTTTCATGATTTCGCAATGTACAAAATGGGGCATGAAAAGTGTGAATCTATCTTGAAAGGTTTTAAACTGTACGTATTTTTAAGTCGAAATCATCATTCTAGAAATTGGATGAACTTGCGCGATGCAGATTCTGGAAAAATTCTGTGGCAAAGCACCGATGATTTGTGAGTTTGAAAATATTATAAATTTTATTTGGTGTTTTTACGACAAAATAGTTCAGTTCCTGACATAGAACACGAAGGTAAATGTGCCATTAAATCAGATATTTTAAAAAGCGCGTGTTCCGAGGAAAATTCTCAAATGCAAATCAGTTTCTCGCGAAATCAATTTTTCGTCAAAAGAGCAGTTGGAGAATTTCTGGCTTGAACAAGAAGTATTTCTTAGAGACCAGTCAATTGAAAGTGAGTGTTTCATAACTCTATGGGGCTCGGTATTTTTCAAACGATGTACTAAACGTTTCATAGCTGATTTGATATTCTGGCCATAAAATACTAAAATATGTATTATTCATGTTATAAATAATTCTTAGTTCAAATGAATATATCTTTTAATAAAGTAGTATGTTTGAGTGATTCGACCAAACTGACAAATTTTCAGGTTTCGCTACCCTTCCGCGATGAGAATTATCTGTTAATTAATTTTTACAGTATATTTTTCTATGAAGATCCCACTTACCCTGGAAGTGTTTACCATTAACTATATACTCATTTTCCGATAGCTCTTTCCAGTTACTGACCAACTAGTGGGAAGTTGAGGATCACTGGATAGATGCATTTTTGAAACTTCCTGGTGGCCTGGGAGAAGATAAATCCTAAGAAGACCGAAAAGATACATCTTAACAGTTTATCCATTCATCAAGATATGAAGTGTATTTTCAAGAGTGCCTTACATTCAAAAGCCAAATAAAGCAAATGGATCTCAACGTTGTAACATCTTGAAAGAGGGAATATTTGAAAGTTTTATCACCTCCTTAGGATCTATCCTTTGTACATGATAAAATAATCGACATCTTTGATAAAATATAAAATTGCTTATAAGACAGCGCTCCGATTGATATATTGTGTATATTTGAATATAAACACCTAAGGATTTTCCTGTCCAAGTACTTGAAGGTTTTCTAACGTGACCACACAGACTGAACACTTTAACAACAGCCATATTGTAGTGTGAAATCGTTTTTAAAGCACAACTTAAAACTGTTGGTGGGTTTTTCGTTCAACCGGTGGTGCGCTTGTCACCGTTACCATGGCAAAGGTCGACTAGAGCACATTCTCTGAATCAGACATGTTAATGGTGATATTTTTGTCACTTGTTATTTTTGAACTACTTATTCAACTGAATATAAATTGCGAAGTTTAACTTTTAATGTTAATGCACGCCTTCCGATTTAACAGTTATATAGTCTTCCATATAAAACACCAGTTTTTAGAATTAATTTACATAAGCTTACATTTTAATATCAATTAGCTAAAACAAAGTCTTAAAATAAAATAATTTCATTTCTCATATCTTACTTGTTACTTCTAAAAACTTCCTTCATTAGTATAAAATTTGAGTGAATATTTTGTCGATGAATACCACAATTCTCTCAGAAAGACCTGTTTTAATAATAATAATAATTTTTCTGAAAAACGGTAAGTTCCACTCCATCTTTGACTTGATTATACGTTTCTTTAAGTACTTAAGCAGTATTTCAAACTGAGTCAAGCTGAAATTACTTAGTTTCAATTACTGTTTCATTTAAATGCTTTGTCACTGTGGCAGACATGCAGCATCTAGGATGAGTAGTTTTCTAAGAACTTGTCGGCAGTAAAAGTGACATTTTTTGTAGATGTTAAGACAAACATTCCCTTATTCAATATCGATATACTGAGTATCCTTAGATCATTAACTTTGTGAGAGTCAAAAACCCAGACTAAAACTGGGAGGACAGCCGTGATTTTAGTAGTGGTTGAAGATGCAAAGTCTTTTGCCTATCTGTCTTACATTGATTATGATGAAACAAAACTCTAAATGATAGCTAGTTCTGTTTTTTAATCACATAATGGTTAAAGTAGAATAAAATTATCATCTGAAAGTGTCTTAGCAGAAAGGAAGCTATCATGTAAAAAAACGTAAAAGTTGACCTTCAGAAACCTTTACAGCTACCACGTGTTGCTACCGCCGTAATTTGTGATCACTTGGCTTCAAAATACTGACGATCGAACATGATCCGAATACAAAACAAACCTGTCTAATTTGACACATCAAGCAAATAACATAAAATGACCGTTTAATAATCAAAAACGAGCTGAGGTAATAGAAAAAGGATGGAATTTCGTAAGAGCTTTAATGTTTTGGAGAAAAACCATGATATCATCAAACATCATCGTACATCTCTTATTTACCAAAGTGAAATGGTTAGTAGGAATAGGTTTCAGTTATGTGAAATCATAATAATATTGGGGTCCAAAAGCTTACCATAACTGTTATTGTGGGATCTCAGCAGATTAAAGATGCCATATGTATTCGGGTTTCGAAAATAACTTTACACGTAACACCTTTGTAATAAAGGTATTCTAACCCAGTCAAGTCAAAATTGAAGAAGTTCGAATTTATATCTGAAAAGCTAGCGACATCTCCAGTGGCTTTTATTCTAAGTTGGCTAACGGTTGTAATAGATGCGTAGCACGGTGTACCTACTCATGATCTGGTGCAAGTTCGTGGCCGAACGCCATCAACTAGGTGTGTCCATTAAGACTAATGAGGTCGGCATCAGTTGTCGAAGACTTACAAAACTATTTATTTCGAAGATTTATTTACCACAATGTTGGTTTTCATCGGCCCCAACATAAGAAAGTCTTTGTATCCAACAATTAGACTGTATAATTCGTTTATGTGTCTATTTGTTGGTCAGACATCACTTTAGAGTATGCGAACCGAGACACTGAATATTTTCACATCTTAAAAGGTCTTTATACCCCCCCTCAAATATTTGAACTTTTAATGCTAATCAAAATAGACAAAGGTCATTTGCTCAAGAGAGCACTCGTAAAGGAAATTCGATTACTTACAAAAATCGGTTTGTGTACACAGATTGGTTTCATAATAATTGGTCACTTCACGACCTTCAGGCATTACCCCTAGCTTAATTCAATCTATGATGTAAACTATCTTTAAGTCAGTCTCCATAAACCTTAAAACGTTTTTTGGTATTAGATGGTTGAATTTTATCGCCGGAAAGCCTCGGCTGTAAGTTTGGTGCTCACCATGGGAAAATATCTGCAGTGTGAAATAATTTCGGTCCAAAATTTTGGCACATAATCAGATCACCAAGCCTTCAGATACACTCGCCAATAAATGCCAACGAGCGCAAAGCATATCCATCGTTTTTACCGACGTTTTCCAGACATCTAATACTTAAAGATATTTTAGTCTCTGGTTCTATTTACAGTACATCTGAATTTCAAACCGATCAGTAACGAACCAAGATTGCCCATAAATAATCATCAGCTGATGATTATCTATCTATTACAACGAATCAATCTCCTCACTCTGTCGCTACTAGATAGTCGTTGCTACTTATACATGACCCTCAACTTATTCTTAACTCTCGATATTTTCTTTGTTGCTAATATCAAATGAATTCCCTCTATTACCTTCATTCCATATAGTCTGCAGGTTTTTTGCCTTCATGCAAAACTCACAATTAGTTAACATCTGCTTAAAAAATGTAGTTTCAATAGAAAACCTGTTTATACATCTTGTAGAATAAATATTCCCTTTTCTATCTGTTAGTCTAGGGACATTCAGGCACGCAAATAACTAAATTTATAAACAATCAAGTAAGCGAATATGCGACTATAACTCGATTAGTATATAGACAGATAGAAAATTAAATTACAAAAAGGAATAGGGTTTGAAATACATTGTATTCATCAAGTAAACGCAACCGCCCTACATAGTATTGATTAATCTCAATGAATAAATAAAAACTATATGGGTTAGAATTTCATTTGTTCAGAAAATTAAAATAGGGCGTTTACTGCCGATAACAATAGATAACTTAATTGGAAAGTAAATTAATGGTATATTGCCGTTAAAAAGGCATCATCTTCCTTTACTTTCGTTCTGTTTTGAGATTCCTTTACAGTTCATGCCTGAAAACTTATATACACGGAAACAGTATCATCAGGCTTCATTCCAAGTTCTTTACCCCTAAACTACTAATTTGAAATTCAAACGGTTCATTTTTCCAACTGCAGCTGATTTAGGACATTGTAAGACCATTATCTTTCACGTTTCCAGATAAGTTAACTGCATCTTTTAAATGAAGCAATTCTCAACCAATATAAATATTAAACAAATAATAATGAAATAGTAACTCATTGAAGACAATGGTGGATGTGTCAATTTCGTGGATTGGTTGAAGTCAGACATTAACACCATTGGATGTTTAGTGGTCAAGAGGTTAGGCGCTCGCGCGCGAGACTGATAGGTCCTGGATTCGAATCTCTCGAGGCGGGGTCGTGGATGCACACTGCTGAGTAGTCCCGCGGTAGGACGAAACGGCCATCTAGTGCTTCCAGGTTTTCTATGGAGGTCTAGCTTCAATTGACTCCTGATCTCAATTATCGAGATAATAATGAATTAACTAATTAAAAAATCAAATGACATCATGGAATTTTATAAAAGTGCTTTTTATTTGTTCTGGCTTATCAGTTGTGTTATTTACTTTCATTAGCAGAGTAACGTTTTTCGAAATTCTTCTTTTCAAAACATAAAATACCAATTTTAAAATAAGCGATACAAAGAGATGTATGATGATTGTTGTGTAATTCTTAATATTTGTTCGGAAATGAAAAGAACGGTTTTATTTTACGACTATAATACATGATTTTGGTAAAGTTTCATTCTCTGAGCTTGATGATTTAAACATGAAGTCTCCATTATTCTGCTAAACGCCATCATCAACAAAAACTTCAGATCTAAGTGCATTCTTAAACTTTCTCTACATATGACTCCCAGTTTGTCCTGTTAACACTGATCTTGATTGATTATTGTTGACCTTTATTCTGTGGCTATCTCCCTATTTGACTTGATTTTTGATCCTGTATTTGCCGATGATTTTTCTTCTTGGTTGATAAAGTGGATCAATTTAAATGTGTTTAGTGATTTCTGACAGACCCGAATTTCAAGCCTCTATAAATCCTCTGTTCTTCTTTAGATTTCGTCTAACCAAAAACCAAAACATTTTTCCAGTCCAATATGTGACCACAATTGTCCACGTGCGTTGACACTAGCGTTCGATAGTTATTTGACCTTCATGAAGAGGGTTCTCACTTTTTCCAACTTAGTGTTTTTCGCAGCTGAAACAGCGTATTTTTCATGCGACGTTTAGCTTTTCTTTTAAAGTTTCATCTCTTAGTTTTCACAAGATTGACTTTAGTAACTCTGCTGATCTATGTGCCATTACTATTCAAAAGGGCTCCAATAATGTCAATATAACTTCAGACATGTCTTTTATCCATCACAGGATAATTCATTTTTCACAATTCACTTGCTAAAAAGAATAATAATTGTTCATTTTGCACAATTATAAATAATTGCAAATATTCATTTATTTGAATAATTGACTAAACATAGGAAGTTACACATACACATCAATGAACTAATTTGAAAAGAAGACTTAGGAAATATATCCCTTACAATATTAGACGATTCGGTCAATAAAATATAGATTAAATTAACCAAAGAATTTTATCAGAATGGGTTTTGTGGAGATTTTTAGAAATTTCACAGGTTGAAATCATGAGTCAATTGAAGCTAAACCACCATGGAAAACCTGGAAGCACTGGACGGCCGTTTCGTCCTAGTATGGGACTCCTCAGCAGTGCGCATCCACGATCCCGCACCCCGCGGGACTCGAACTCATGACCTACTGGTTTCGCGCGCGGGCACTCAACCACTAGATTACTGAGCCGGCATCCAACAGTGTTAATGTCTAACTTCCAGGTTTTCCATGGTGGTCTGGCTTCAATTGACTCATGATTTCAACCTGTCAAAAAAATTTAATCTGAAAAAAATTATTGTTTCTTAAAATGCTTTAGCTGGAGTTTTGGTCGTTTTTCTTTTTGTTTTATAAAAAAAACCAATCACCAATATAAATTATATTCAACTATTGAATTTCGTCATATATTAACAAAATCTTTATATTTAATAACTTGGTATATTTTCTAATAATATTTAGAATAATTTCAATATATCTATGTGTCTGCCTATGATTGAGATATTAGATCTTCTTTATTTGTTGAATATATTTGTTAACGGGACATAGACTAGATTAAAGCATGCTCAATGCACGGTTTCTTTTGTTCACGCTAAGTGGCTAATTCTTATCCAATCAGCACTAGTCAATGCTTGGATAATACTCTAGAATCTTCTCATGTAAAAAACTATAAATATACTAACGTTTTCCCTATTATGCTTCTTACTTCCATCTAATCTTGTTATTTGGAATATAATCTCTTTCCTGTTCAAACGTATTCTGATTTGGGGACTTGTCGAGTGAATCGGTGTCCGAGACTACTAAGCAATAGGAATAGCTGGATCATAACTGTAAGAAAGAGATTATAACAATATTGTATTTAAATATACAATTATGTATAATTTATATAATGTAAAATGTACAAGAGAATATTTTTTTTACAACTGATTGTTAATAAATATATATACCATTAGTATACACCTTTATTTTTATATGAATTAAATTATAAAATAAATATTTATTGAATATTCAATTTTAAATAATTATTTATAAAGTTTTTTATTATTGTTTATTTAATGATTAAATCTTTCATTTAAAATTAATATAAATTCATGGACACAAAAAACAGTCAAAATCATTTCCCATTAGAATTATAACTTAAGTAGAATCTAGTTATTTTTGTGTATTGATGACCAGAACTTATACTTCCATTACATAAATAATGTACTTTTCAGATTTAATTATTGTGTACTTGATGTTAAATCGTTTGATATTAAAAAGGTTTAATTATCATGCTTCATAATATTCAAGTCTAAAGTACTTCAATAAAATTTCTTTGCTGAATAAGATAAAATTATAATTAAATGTATCCATTTGAATGAGATCAAACCAAACAGTGCTTTAGCCAATGAAGTTGCCTACTTTTCTAAATGACCAGTGTGAAGAAAGAAAAACCATTTAAAGCACATTAATCATTGAGAGTAAATATATCACTGGTTGTTGATTTGTGGTCGAAATTCCTAACTATTGATGAAAATATCATAGCTACATTCAGACCTTACCATTTAAATTTTGAACATCTATTTTTTTTCTGATGTATGTCTTTCTTGTTTGTATTAAAATTGTTTTTCTGTGCAGCCTTAAAGTATGTTTAATTGAATTGGTGTAAGTTTTTGTCAAATTTTAGGTTGATGATGTCCAATTGTTATTCACTGCGTCTAAAAACTTAGTATTCATTATTTATGGACAGAAGTATCTGTTCGAGTGTAAGTATGCTTATATTGGGGTGTTTTTATCTCAGCTAATTATAACTGTATACTCGTGTAGTCATGGATTTTGTATTTTTTATACAGTTAGATCCCAAAAGATTCTAAAATTAACACTATTTTTTTTATTTTGAGATAAGGACAAACGGTATTTTCTGTACATTGAATCACTTATTATTTATCTGAACCATGTCAGTAAATACAGACTACTTAAGTGAAGTTCTCGTCATAACCGCTATCAGTAGTTGGAGACATTGAGTGTCATGGTTTAGAATCGGTGAAATTAACGCGGATCGATGTACTCGTCATTTTATTTTAGATCCTGAGTTCCAGTGTTCCTTCATACATACTTTTCCTTCTTCTTCTTCTTCTCCTCCTCCTCATTATTATTATTATTATTATTATTATTATTATTATTATTATTATTATTATTATTATTATTATTATTATTATTACTATCAATGTATTTTCAAACCATAGTCGCAGTGCTTATTCTTTCTCTTCAGCACTGTTGTAGTGACGGAGAACACAGTTGAGGACAAGCTAATTGTATTTAGCACAATATTACAGAGTTACTTGCTAAAATAGAAAAAAAACCGTATAGTAAATCGTTAATTTGCAAAATATCAATGCATTATATCAACCTGAACTGTTCAACTGTTCCTGTTGCGAACAGCAATCCATTGTCTCACATTTGATTGTTCATGCGTTTCCTTACAAATTGCATTGTGTTGTCGCACTTCCTTTCTTGATTTTCCCCATCTTCTGCTGTCAGACATTGCGTTCTTAATTCGCGTGATATACTACTTACATCGATATAAATAGCATGCACCCCACTGTCATTAAATTGTTTCGAATTCTGAGATTTATTTCGTTAGTTCCATTTGGTTATCTCAGGGTGGTTTAGAAAATTGTGTCAACGCATTTTTATATGACGCTTTGTGTTGTTACTGCTCATGACTGAAAAATACTAGGCTGTGTAATTTAGCTATATCATTATGTTATCTCCATTAATATACTTTTAATGATAACAAATCTTTTTACAGTAATTAAATGGAAAATTTCCTTAGTTTATATCATAACCAGGCTACTCATTTTTCTTTAAAATCTAACCAGATTATTTTATAGCTAGTGAATAAATGTTTATCTTTTTTGCTTATTTTCATTTGTTCCTTAAGTATATTTGATGTATAAAGTAACAAAAAAAACTATTTAATTTAAAACTTACTTTCATTGAATAACCTTATCAATCCTTTTAAACTGTCCAATTACTCTTAATCTTTAAAATTCAAATAGTCATGTAAACTTTGATTAGTTAAGAAAAACAATTGATGTATGTGGCACTGTAAAGAGTGCTAATTATCAACAAGTATTTATCCTAATAAATTCGTATTTATTCGTAAAATTACTGATGAATGTGATCAGTTTAATACATTTGCCAAGACCCTGCCTACAGTGATAAAAATAGTTAGAATATTTTAATAAAAACCTGAGACATGTCAGTGATTCACTAACTTTTAATTTAAGTCGTATGGTCAACTATATGTTTATTGGCTGAAATCTAAAAAACATTAAAAACGATGCTAGAATGTCTTAAGTGCAATGGCTAACAAGCATCCACCTACTATTGTGTGTATCTTGCTTATTAATGTTTAAAGATGAGTTTGAGAACAATTCTTATCATTTAGTATTATGTAATATGCAGGTTAATTTTATCTACATCCTTAATATAATGTAATAGATTATATTGGGAAGAATAGAATATGATAAAGGAATCAATTTTCTTGGTTTAATCTCTTTGCTAAAGCATTTTACACTTCGAAATGATAATACAGTCTAGCTAGAAAGATTGCTGATAGAGGCAATTAAGGATACAGATAAACTGTATGTTTGAATGGATAAATATCAAGTTTCCATTCCTGACAAATTGTTTGAACGATAATTCAAACTGATAAATATCTTAGTAATCATGGTTATCAGTCTTCTGAATGAATAAATTACTTTAAAGCTAATTATCATCAAACTTATTATTACTTATCAGTCAAAATACGTGAAACCGGTTTGTTTTTGAGGTTAACAAAATTTTTGAGTTCATCTCAAGCTGGAATTTATGTAAATGTTGTTTATTAAGTATTAATAATCCCGAGTTTTGCACCATTAACCTAATTAAAAAGGTTTTGTATTAAAATCTTTATTTATTGACTCCTAATGGAATGGCAGACTGGAGTTTTGAATTTGGTTTCGTAATACCAGGTTCTACAAATACATGGCAGTCGTTAATACAGTCCGACTCAGCTGATCGAATGATTCCGGCTAAAGTATTAAGGTAAATTTTTAACTAGTAAACTTTGATCTTAATATGTGTATTGATAATTAATGGTACTTAAAATGGACATTCAAAAATCTAACTAGTAAACATCTACTGAATATCAAACAACCTATTTTATGTCCGTTCAGTCACACTGATAAACCTTTGAAAAGTTTGAATCAAAGATTAAATAAGTTACTTTCAAATATAGTAGATGGAGATAATCCTGACTAAATAATGAGCTATTTCATACCAGTTTACGTCAAAAAGCATATATATATATACGTTAGTTTTTGGTCGATATGCATTCTCTGAGCTAAGTGGTTTAATCATGAACAATATAGAAATAGATTTCCCATCAAAGTCAGAAAATAACTACCAAAATCCTCTTTCTGAGTTATAAATCTCCACCATCTCAAAAACAATTTAGTCTTGGTGCTCTGATAAACAATTTCTGACAGTAAATATCTGTAGTATTGCTCCGCGTAGTAAAATTTCCTCTCTTATGAAATATTAACACTCAGTTTAGTGTAAATACGTTTTAAGACTTATTGGCGTTAACCGATATTTAGTTATCTCCTTTCGTTTTCTTTTTAGTGGTAATGTTGTTATTGTGACACATTTCTATGATGGCGACCTTTTAGTAAGCAAATCTAAAGTGCGAATATTTTACGTTTAAATGAAGACGCATTTTTTTCTACATTGAAGACATCCTTTAAACAAATCAAAAGTCCAGGTGTAAAACAATTGCTTGTCATTCACTTATTACTCTTAAAACCATTTAGAGCATTTTTTGCAAGATACTTTTTAGTTTATTTACATTTCCGTATATACAAAGCTTATTTTGCCTATAGCTCAATTTCACCATTAACATTGTGTGTCTATATATGCTCTCTATTTCTAACTACCCGTGTTAATGTAACTAAAGTATGACTTTATTCCATTCTCATAGCTCGTTGAACAACTTTCCTCATTTTTGTACGCATTGTTTATTACCTCTTCTATTCTATTTATCATGATTACTTCCCAGGATAAAGCTTTACAGCTCTTTTTATAACACCAACAATTCGTGATATTGTTTTTGTGCAGCAAGAACGATGATACAATAAGACAATCTCTAAGCAATAAAATATGAAAACTAACTGTTGTTATCGAGGGATTATATGCCTTTAAAAATTATTTTATGGAGTGGTCGTCTTTGTTTTCAAACATGAAACTTTGATGGGTTTTTTTACATATCATCAACAGTATAGTAACTTAACACTGGCCTCCTCGATTCGAAATTTAAAGATTATGTGATTTTTTCCAGTTTGGGTAAAATTAACTTACATCCTAATCTACTATGAAACACATGCTCATCATTTTTTTCATTAAAGAAACTCTAAGATGGTAACTAGGACCTACAGGAATTCAAAATAAATCAATCACTTACTTGGAAAATTAGTAAAGAAATCTGACCGAATTTCGATTTCACGGTAACTGGTGAATGACTTGTGGACTACTCTGTAAGATAACAACATGTAATTAACTACAGATTACCACGCAATCTCCCGTATTATCTTTTCGTCCTAATACAAACCAGGCTCTATTAAATGTGGTGACTGACCGGTTGGTTACTAACAAAATTATCTGAATTAGTGCTGTTATTTACAACACCCGTTATGTAACTCGACAAAAACAGTGACTGTACACGTAGATATGCGTTATTCTGCATTATTGTTTAATCTCAAGACCTAATAATTAAGAAAACTGAAGGACCTTCCAAGTTCATTAGGCCAGAAACCGAAACGAAATTTACAAGAAAAACTAAAAAAAAAACTGAAGAGGTAACAAAACTAAAATCCAAAACACGAGGAAATCCTAAATGCACTATAACCAAGAAGCCATCAAACCTGAAAAACTAAAAACATACAAATATCGCGGCTAAGAAGTCAGTTCCTAGGAAAATAAGCTTTTAGAAAGGACGGGCTATTCGCCAGTCAGTCAATCATCTACAACGCAGGACCAGGCACATACATGCATCGGTCCAAGTTGTAACACATCATTAGCACAAAACGATGAACACTAAATCTATGGAAGTAGTCACTTAATCGGTAGTAATATATAAAAGAAAGATTGTGTATAAGAATATAGTGTATGGAAAAATAATTAATTCGTAGAAAGAAAGGTGTGGAATAATTTTAATCTCGCGGTTAGAGAGAAGACGGAGAGTGCATACACCAACCCCGACAGTTGTTGCCACCTTGACGTGGTTGTCGGGCTTGCCTATCGTGATGAAGCGACCGAGTTACACTGACTGGAACAACCGTTCCTCAAGGTCCTACCATGTCAGACAAGCCGGTTGAAGAGCGGTAAGACTAAAAGCAGCAAACCCAGAGTCCGAAGGCGAAGTCTTACTGCTGACTGTACAGAGGCGTGACATCAGTAAGGTGTTTCCTTCAGACAACCAGCATTACAGCGACACTTCCTTCCCACAAGGAGGGGTGGGGTTAGAAAAGGTCGCCCCTAAAAATACACCTTATCTCAACAAGTACGGAACTAACACAAAAATTACCCACAAAAACGTCGTGTGTGACCGACTTCAAGCAGTTGTCCCTTGAGCACTGCGGTCATTAAGACAAACTCTAACCCAATTTCCTTTTCAGGTATCTCTAGAAGAACCCTTCCACGGTAGGGGCAACCGGGAATTGGGAACCGCCCTCATACCTCTAATAACACTCAAGACCACTATATTCATAATCAGTTTCCATCTTCAATCCCTCTTTTTCCTCCTACACCGACTTTCAACTCTAAACTTCCTCTTTCGGCTTCCCCTCAAGTGTCACCATAGCCAACGATTCTAGTGCTCAAAACACTGTCCCAGGTCTACTGAAACCTCGCTCCAAACTACACATTGGAACCTTCAACGTACGCACTCTATGTCAAATCGATCAGCAGGCTTCCTTGGCTAGAACCCTACAATCTCGCACCATTGATGTATGCTGTGTCTCCGAAACAAGCATATAGGATCTCAGTGTGGTTATTCACTTGACCTCACCTCGGCAAAACGGAGAGCCGACGAGATATCTGGTGACCCGACGGCCAGCTCTCGTGGACTGGCAGGAGTAGGGATTGCACTAAACATAAGGGCGGAGCGAGCACTATTAGAGTGGATCCCCGTTAACAGTCGTTTATGCGCTGTTTGGCTAAATGGCTCCGTAAGAGCTCGGAGGGATAGGGACACACGTCATTGCCTTTTTATCGTTTCTGTCTATGCTCCCACCGACTGCAGCTCAGATGAAGTGAAAGATGAGTTTTACAGAAAGCTATTCGAACTTCTTCAGAAAGCTAAACGTTCAGACATAGTAATCGTAGCAGGTGGCTTTAATACCCAGATAGGTAGTTTAAACCAAACAGAAAGATATTTAGGTGGGTATTTTAGTATTCCGGCACAGCGAACAGATAATGGTGATCGTCTGCTGCAGCTGTGCTCAGACAATCGTTTATTTTTAGCAAACACAAATTTTAAGCATGAGACATCGTCTAACATGGCGACCCCTACACCAAACCAACGATGGACTCAAATAGACCATATTGCCATCAGTCATCGTTGGAGAGGGTCGGTAGAAGATTGTCGCTCGTTCTGGTGTGCCTGCTTGGACTCCGACCATGCCCTAATACGGGCACGCATCTGCTTGGGCCTCATTGGATGCAAAAAACCAAAGTAAAATGACCCATTAGAATTGAATTGTATACTCTCTACTACTTATCAAAGGCCAAAAATCGTAGTGTTTCTTGACATCAGGGCTGCCTTCGATTTGTTGCACAGAACTGTTCTCTGAGATTTTCTTTTGAAGGGTGTGCCTGAGAAGTTTATTAACATCCTAAAGGCCCTATATGCAAACACCTCAGGCAGAGTGACGGCATACAACCACCTCTCTCCATTGTTCCATTCAAGCAGTGAGGTTAGGCAGGGTTGCCCAATCTCACCATTCCTCTTCAACTTTGCCATCGATGACATTCTGGAAACAGCTCTGATGGATGTAAGTAATGGTGGTGTGAATCTGTTGTCTGGAGAAAGACTTCTCGACCTTGAGTATGCGAATGATTTTGTCTTACTGTGCGATAATGCCCAAGGCATGCAATCAAAGGTGCAAAGCACTTCTACAAGACTGACAGGATTCTAACCCTGCACTCACCCTGGATGGTGAGCAGCTAGAAGTAGTCGAGATGTTCGTGTATCTAGGTAGCTGCATAAGTGATGGTGGCGTGAGTGATGAGATCAATGCACGTATAGTGAAAGTCAGAGCGGCTCATGCCAATCTGGGCCACCTTTGGCGCCTTCGTGATGTTAGTCTGACTGTAAGAGGTCGGGTCTACAACGCGTCGGTGAGAGCAGTTCTGCTCTATGCTTGTGAAACCTGGCCTCTCCGAGTTGAGGATGTTAGACGACCCTCTGTGTTCGATCATCGCTGTCTCCGAAGGATTGCCGACATCCAGTGGCAACACCATGTCAGTAATGCAGAGGTTCGACGTCGTGTGTTCTGGCACAGCGACGATAATCCAATTGATGTCACCATCTTGAAACGTTGACTTCGGTGGCTTGGACATGTTCTGCGGATGTCCCAGAGAATTTCACGTCGTGCATTATTTGCCGACTCTGGGACTGGTTCGTAAAAGTGGAGGTTGTCAGTGTATGACGTGTTGTTGGGGTATAAAAGAAAGCTGCAAAGGGCTGGCTTTTGCTGGCCCTTCACGACTCCCTGGCTGGGGTTCGAGAGATGCTGCGACACAGTGGCGACCCTGCTGTAACCTTCATAAAAAGTGGTTGCTTCTTCCTTAACTGAAAGATTTCTTCTGATTGTACCTTTTCGTTTCCCCTATTATTATTATTACGCTACCTTACACTATTCTGCTCGTTATTGTTCTTTTTTTTACGCTCCTCACCTTTTTTTCCTTCTCTTCAAATCCTGATTGTTTTGTGTGGCGAATATATATTTAGTGCCCTCTTGTACCAATATTTGTGTTCAAATAAATAAATATACAGAGGGACGTAGTCTGGGCTAATCAAATAAATTTTTGTTCATTAGCTCTACGTTCAAACCAAATATTGGCGTTTCGGCCTTTATACTTGTAAAGAAACTCCTCCAGTCAGAATCCTTTATCAGCAATCAGAAGTTTTCTCAGTCAGCGTGCACACAAATTTTACATTGAAAGCGCGTATTTATTGTCTTGAATTTGTTGTACTTTGTAAGAAACGGTGGAGCGGAAATGACTTTTGTTATCGCTGTAGTTAAATTTTTCTCCAACGACCACAGGTGTTAGTGTGTAATTGTAAGTCAAGAATGTTTGTTGTTCCGTGTAGGCAGGTGTACATGCTGCTGTCAACCGTGTGTCTAGGGAACTAATTACGCTTTCAAAGTACAGTGCGTCAGATAGTTTCCCAGTCGATACTTGGGGGCCCGAAGTCACCACAGACAATTTCTTAGTCGGGATCTAGTGAGTCAGTCTTAACAAGTGACTCGCATATTGTGGTACCATATGTACTATTAGTGTCACGAGCTCGATATACATACTTAGTAACTTTCACATTTTTGAGCGAGTACGGTAAGCCATATCTAACCAGGTAATTTGCTGAGGACAACATCGCTATAGATCCCTGCTTTCATATTTTTAGATGCTTACATGGAATAACCCCCCACGCCTCCAGTGACTCGATTACAGCGGGTTTCAGTAGACCCGGAACAGTGTTTCGAGCACTAGAGTCGTTGACAATGGTGACACTTGGGGAGGAAGTTTCAACTTGATAGTCGAGGTAAGAGGAATAATAGGAATTAAAGAGGGAAACTGATTATGAATATAGTGGTCTTGAGTGTTATTAGAGGTATGAGGGCGGTTCCCAATTCCCGGTTGCCCATACCGTGGAAGGGTTCTTCTAGAGGCACCTGAAAACGAAATTGGGTTAGAGTTTATGTTATTGACCGCAGTGCCCAAGGGACAACTGCTTGAGGTCGGCCACACATGACCTTTTTGTGCTAGCTCCGTAATTGTTGAGACCTCACAGCCGGAGACGTACATCCGTGCGGCAAGGTGTGTATTATTAGGCTCAAACCCCTAACCCCACTTCTCTTTTGTAGGAAGGCAGCATCGCTGTCATGCTGGTTGTCTGAGGGAAACACTGCTGCCACCACACTTCTGTACAATCAGCAGTGCAACTCCGCCCTCGGTTTGCTGCTTTTAGTCTTACCGCTCTGCAACCGACCTGCCTGACATGGTAGGATCCTGAGAAACTATCAGTTCATCACGATAGGCAAGCCCTAGCACCACGTCTAGGTAGCAACAACGGTCCGTTTGCTGGTGGGTCAGCCCTGCTCACCAACTTGCTCAAATCGACGTTCAATACGCAGTAGTTACTCTAACACACATTATTGTTAGCCACAAGTAGATTTAAGTACACACAAGCACCAGAGTGATTCTTCCTCAACACGAAGTTGTACGCAACATTCAGCCATTAACAGATATGTCTGCCGTGAACGACCGCTGTATGCAGAGTGAAACAATGATAAATAACCTGAGCCAGCAGCTCGTTAAGCGTACAAAATGCACTTAGAAATTACGATGGGAACAATCGATATTCATTAACACAAGCGCGAACTTAAGACAATCTGCAAATGGAAAAATTAAAGCCTTAAATGTATTAACGACAGCTATGTACTGAATAATATATTCGCCACCACTACCAACCATTTAAATAAAGAGCATGTGGTGATTTTTTACATCGTTTTATGTGGCTTCGAGAATCAGTTAGTATGATTAAGATATTTCGCAGGCCAGGCGTGAAAGAAGTGGTAATGAACTTCAATGTAAATTTATTCACAGCCTAACTCATACCGGAATACTCAGACCACAGATAATACCTAAACCGATGTACTAAATTCATTTTGAACCTTATTGCTCAGACTCCAGCAGCTGATTGTCTCTCGTGGACACTAATAAGGAAACATTGTCCCTCTAGGCGTGAACTAGTTACCAGGCACGAGAATTTGGATGTCAGGTTGCCAACATCAGTACACCTACTTCCAATTTAAAACGGAAATAGCAGTTAATTCTGATCTTGTTGCCAAATCAAGTAAAAATCTATCACTTGCCTTTGAAAGACCGAGTGATGAAGTGGTACCTTAATACGATAACCCCAAATAAAACTTTCACAAAACTACTCCTACGTAATGGGACTGAGCACTACCATTAAATAGAGGTAATGTGAATAACATTAGGAGCAAGTAATTTTATGTTTCATAATTTAGCGAAAAGTGAGGATCTGATCAACATATAATTGCGCCCTGTTAAAAGACTCCTCATTTAATCTTGACCATTATTCCCTACCATAATCTAGCCACTGAAAACCTTTAACTTAAGATTTCAAAAACTGTTGAGCGAACTAACTGCTTTGTAGGTAATACAGGATTTATAACTCATAACGTAAAAAGAACAGGTGAGATCTGCCTGGAGACACTCACTAAATATTGCAATGGATAATTTGATTACCACGGCGCAAAGACGAAAATTGTGAATTAAGCTCGAGGTTTGTTATATTCTGTTGTAGTAGGTCACTCACACTCACCTTGACCATTTGTATACTTCGGGATCCAAATAAATGGTAATGAGTTTACATGAAAGGTTTAAATAACTTTATCATTGCATGAACTGGCGTCGCCCAGTCATACGCAACATGGAGCGTGATACACAAAGTCATCGATTCAATTCGTTAAACCCATATCAGTTTAACGATATGGAGTTATCTAGACAAAACCCGATGTTAGTAGAATCATTAGAAGTAGATAAAATTAGGCATAAACAATATGATTCGAGAAAGAATAGGTTCGTGAGAAAAGAATGTATATGGATATCGAAACTTTGGGGCTAAAGGGAAACAAAAGGTTAATTCATGTGCTACCGATTCTCAGCCATGTCACCCAAAGTCTCGAATCATCGGTCACGATCGCGCAACCAAAACCATGTAGTCTGAACGTACCAAACCAGACAACCGTGTAATGACTAAATGCGTTATTCTTATCCTACGAGTTATTCTTTTTCTTAATATGATTAGTTATAAACTGACTCACCCACGCTTTGATATACATATTTGTTTGACCTACTATCTTATTACATTAAGCCTGTAGATTATATCTATCCAGGATACATATACAAATACATTATTACTCACTTCCTGGATTTTATACATTTAGTCTACTAGTGCAGTGTCCCTTACATACTATTTCCCCTAACGCCTTATATTTTGACACCGTTGACAATCATCGTGGCGTAAATGTTTTCTAATCGTATATTTATGCGAAGTTATATGGGATACTTACGTATTGGAGTCAAATTTGCCTACGAAAGTGATTAACTCCACCTAGCAACGTTTAAAATTACAACCACGAATTAATTATTTCCCTCCCGCAAGTTTACTTATCATATATGTCCAACAACATTACTAACTTGATTTATTATACCTGCTTTCTTTAGTCACCAGTGCGAAATACTTCAGGCATTCCGTGAGCTGGTTGCATTTTGTTATGTAATTTTATTTCATATTATTTGATAGTTTAGCATCACTAATAATATCACATAAATTGAAAATGTATTTTTTCAAAAACTTAAGAATGGTTAGCAATTTGAAGTTTGCTAGTTAAGAGTAACATATTTACAAAAGTGAAGAAGAATAAGAAAGTTATGACATCACAGACAACTCATTTCTACTCTTCAAGAGCTGGAAGCCAGAACGATGTTTGGTTAGATCCTGTAGCTAGCATTGCGAACCGGGGATTAAAAGCGAGACTATGAATAGCTGCGTTTGGTAACTGGGTAGCAGCTTCATAGCCTGGTAGGCTTGCCACACGTACTCCAGTTTCAACAGACCAAATATGTACAACTCCGTCTGGCGAACCAATTAAAACAAACTGACTATCTGGTGTGAAACTGGCATGTAACGTTTGTCTGTCAGTATTTGGTATAACCTGTCAAGGTGAAAATCCTATTTAGTAGGAAACTAGTAACATAGAAATTCTGGAACACATTATTCAAATAAAATTAAAATTATAGCATACGAGCAACAACTTCATATGTCTAACTACGAATCAACTGTTAATCTGGACTGCAGTGATGAAATCCAACTCAACTACTGTGTATGGGTTTGTGCAAAAAATATATGAATCACACATCAGTTGTATGAGGGCTGATGACAATGTCTGATTTTTAAACCCTTATAAATGAAAGCCAATTCAAGCCACCAATCCTATTTTCTAAAAGTCAATTAATTGAAATAAACCAAAATGATAATAAATATGTAAGGAGTGAATTCTAGTCAAATATACAGAGGACAGGTTAGATGCACAAAATTTTCGCTGATACAGCGAATTCGTAAATTTAATTTTCATCTCTATGACCGTTTTATAATGACGATAAAACTATCAGTTCCCCAAATAATGATATAAGCTGACATTTTTACGGTCTTAGATGGGCTTCAACAAATTAAATAAAGTCTAGTGAGTCCAATCGCTATTTAATAAAGAAAGCAAAATAGAAATTTGTACTCGATTAAAGACTTGAATCAGATGCGTTTTGACCAACCGAAGATTATTTAGAACAACGAATAGTTAAAATTAGATCCAATTAGTTAAGTATACATAAAATAAAACACAAAGATGAATATTAATCAACAAGTTGTCCTCAAGGAATAATAAACTGAATGCTTAACTTTATTACGCAACAAATCCTGCCGAGTATGCATAATAATCGATACATATTTCACTTGCTCGTGATGCTTAGTGACCAGAAGCCTCGACTATCAACTACTACGTCCGCCATGAACTATAGTTTTGAATTTTGATGATGAGCAGGGTTTTCTTGTTAAAATTATGAAGAGAATGTTGACTGGTAAATTATACGGTGATACAATGTTGCCAACTGACTGCTAATCGAGAGATTGAACTACTGGCACATCTAAGACTAACTGATATTAAACAGATAACACAACTGGTTTGCGGGGATTTTCCTTTAGTAAAATTATATGATGGACATATATTAAATGAAAAGGAAACATGATTATATACCATTAAATATATGAAGAATTGTGTGATTGGGGTTTCATGGGCCATTAATGCGCCAACAAAATTATGGTCTATCTACAGGGCTTAAATTATCACCCATTACATCGGAGTTGCATGCTTAAAACCCACACTAGCTACTCTTATTTGTGTGGCTGAGTAGTATAACTATTCCTCACAAAAATTTGCAGCTCATAGCTCAACGGATAAACGTAAACTACGATTATGAACCATTTGCCCAAACCTGACGATAGCAATCCACTCCACCTGTCAGGGCCACGTGGTAAAATCTAATTGTTAATTAAAGAAGTGTTGGACAAGCATATAGCACTAATGTGGTCTTCAACCTGCACACTCACAGTTACGTAAGAGCTTTATTGCGACTGATCGTCTGAAGTGACTATGACAGTCGATATTCGTTGAGATTGTTTACTCTCTTCATTTTTTATCCAACTTCACGTATGCACTTCTAGAAGTAATACACCGTTACTCTGATACCGTACTAGTCGATCCCCACCCATAAGATTCCTCTACTGACCTGGAGTACCCAAAAAAAGTCCTGTTAAGCAATGATAATAAAATCCAGCTTTTAAAACACCTTTTAGACTGCTGCTACACGAATGTATGGAGTAATTGTATGTGCAGCCGAAGCTCCTGACTTAATTCGAATCATGTAGAAAGACGTAAGTATCCAGGTTGATGTATGAAAGATTACTTGGGGACCTTAGCTAATGTAGTTTAAAATCAGCCTAGTATAACATAAGCTTCCTCAGCTTTTTATTCCCTCTCGTAGATTTGCTTTCGTATTTTCACCACTGACAATACCATAACTTTAATTTTCTTCCTTTACGTTGATAATTTTGAGCTTTCAATGAAAATGGGAATGATGGAAAGGTGACCGGGAGGTCATAGCACCCGACTTTTAGTCGTCAGGTTCCCCTAACTACTCCCTTTCTGATACCAAAATGATATAAATATCCCTTGCACTAAACGTGTAGTTCAAGATCAAATGCAAGAACTTACGCTTGATTACTAAGTTGCACAGAACTTATTAATTACGGTCTGGTAAGGTGTTGAATTAATAATAGCTTTGAAAGGATAATACTTAAGCTAATTCCTACAAGACTATGCCGAAAAGATCTAACCTCCAACAATCAATAATATTCTATGATTGACATGATCAAACCTTACGACCTAAACAGTAAACCATAGTAATAAGTAAATTACTTATCACCACGTTAGAAGACTCCTCAGGGTCACCTTACGAGGCCATGGTTTTATTTTTTAGCTAAAACTGTAAGGACCAGTAAACGGTTGCATAATGTTGTACAGTACAAACATTACTTTCGGTTATGACATCGTAGCCAGTACTATTGAAACGGCTTACAATTCATAAAATTTCATAAATAAACTGGTCAAAACCCAATATTACAGGTAAAATATGACCGGCTAAGATAATGCGGACTGTTTGGATTTAATCCAGTTTATATACAGTTAAAAGTCTAAAGTTGACTCATTTATTTATTTTGCTTATTACTTGATGTTAACCAGTTGCAGTAATAAGCGACGTAACAACTGGCATATGTGCATCAGTGCAAATTACGAAACCACGTTTGTATAGGCAGATAAAATTATCAAGATAAATCCCAGTAGCAAAAGTACTGGCAGTGTTCTTGGTAGCAAAAAAATTAGACATGAACAATATGATTCAAGAAAGAATTCGTATAAAAAATACAAGATGATTTAGAAACTCAGAATCCAAAAGGAAGCCTAAGAGTGAAAGCATGCGTCATTCCAACAGATTCTGAACCGTGTCACCCAACGTCTTAGGCTACCGGTTACGATGATTGCATGACCGCAACCTGTAAACAAGGTTCAGTCCAAAAGTCAATTACTTAAAGAACTAATACTGTGGCGTATGCTACTTATGTTGATATAAGCAGTATTTAGCATGTCAGCAGAAGATTTAATTGAAGAGAACAGAAAGTAATTGTAATAGCAAAAGAATTTAAAGAAACATGAAGTATGTAAAGGACGACTGATGGAAGATGTGCAAATTATGTATTTAATGTGTGGTTTTCATATTTTATGTAAGCACTCTGCAAATTTGCACTCAACAACGAATTGGTCTTCCACACCTGAGTTCTCGTTCATTACGACACCACGTCTTGGCTTAACCGGTTGGAGTTTTCTTCCAACCCACTAATGCACTAGCGATAATCGTGCATCGAATTATCAGTGGTCTGGTACACCTAATGCATGTACCAACCACCTCAGTCGAGAAAGACTCACAACCTTATCAACCGAATTGCCATGTTTACCAATTACCCTGTCTAATCTCAGCCTTTTTCACTCGACAGCCTCAACTTACGATAGAGATGCTTCGGAAACATCTATGATCAAACAAAAGCAACCTGTGAATGTGCTGTTCTATGAGTGCGTACAGTAATTTCTGATTACAAATGATTTGACAGGTTCTTCTAATAAGAAACTGAGTAGATCTAACAATTGATACATAACACTTAGATGACAACCTGCTGAGTAATTTGCTAACACCTCTTATCTAACGCTATGTAATGCCACAACCTTTGTTTTTAAAGGACACGTTTTAGTCTAAAAAACGAAGTGACGCACAGTAAACCCATCCTTCTGTTGACAAACGGATATCTCATCTACAGCACGATCGAAGTAATTTGGTCGAAGCCAAGCCAGCATGCTGAATGAGTTAAGATTTCACCAAGCACCAACACTTCAGAGATGATGACACTAGCAAGATAACGTGTTTTCAATGAAATATACTAACCGACACAGTTCAACTATAAAATTTAAATCTACACTTAGCTCTAGATTATATGAGAAATGTTTCTATGGACATTAACTTCTTGATTATTTAATACTTATAACTTAGTGGTGAGATATTTCGGTGAACATGACCACGTACCTTTAGCCGAGATTTCTACAAAAAAGTGGATTTATTTTTGCTTAACTATGTTGTGACAGTGAAAAAATATGCAGTGTTTCAAAATATACCCCCCCCCCAATTCGTTTATAAAAGTGTATTGAAATTAATCTTACGGCTAATGTATGCAGATGGGATCCCTTAAATGCGTCAACTAGACGAATATGAGTTCCGTTGGTCGTTATTAAAAGAGCCTTTCCATCAGAGGAAAATTGTAAACCGGTCCAAATGCATCCGCTTGTTTCCATGCCCAATTTGAACGTAGCAAACGGTCCCTTATCGAATGATCGTAGGTCATAGAGCTTAACAGATTCGGAATTAATCCCCGCTGCAAATATTAATCCTTCTGGATCAAAAGCCGCTGTCGGTCGACCGGAAACATGCATTACACCCTTGGGAAAAAGCCGTTAAAAAAGCAAAATAAGATTATGGAGGATTTTAGAAAATATCCATGTACGTATATACTAGCCTCAAATCATTAACAAAACTTATGCACTGATGAAACGTTGGTAATTCACTAATTCAAGCCCGAATACCGCTTTTTAACAAAATACTGCAGCTATACAAGATTTTATTAACCTCTTTTCAAATGCTTTCATCCATACAGTTACAGAGTACATAAAACAAGTGATTCTAAGAGATTAACTGCTCCGTTTTTTAGTCACGTATAAATAGACAGTGCAACTGATGATGGCTTCAGCGGATTAGTTGTACGAAACTACATAGTAATTCATTTGACGTCTTCCTGCACTTTGATGTTTAACTAGCGTCTATAAAAAATAATTTTTCGGTGTTTATCAGTTATTTCTTTTTGAGTTTCTATTGCTATAGGCAAACTACAAACTTGTTAACATTTGACGAATGCTAGGAGACCCATCAACAAACCCATAAAAATCCCACGAATTTAAATTTTTGTATCCGATATAGACTATCTGAACAAAGTGTATTCTCTTAAGTGTTAGTTACCATGTAGATGTTCACATAATCGGCCTTGAGCCATATTGTAACGGCGAGTCTACACAGCTTTCCGAATTAGAGTAGCTACCTAGAGGCTCGAATCTGCGACATACGTTTTAACAGCCGGGAGCTTTAACTATTGAGATGCTTTTCAAACCCATACTTTACCTTCTTGATGAACCGCAATACCACATAAAAGCTTTATGGCTGGCTGCCTGTGTAAAAGGTGTTTCGAGGAACTTGACAAATGTTGGGTAGAAACTAGTACACATATGCGCAATAGCATGAAACAATCACCAAATAAATATTGTTAGCGGAGTCACAAAGCTTTAAAGTGAGGAAGCAATAACTAACCAGTCTTTTAGTCCATCAACTAACCGACCCTCGAAAATTTATTTATTTGAACGTATAAAAAGGGGCACCGAATACATAGGCGCCACACAAGTCGCTTGATTTGCGTGTGGGCTATGATACCGCCCGGGTGCCCAAAACGAAGCGGGTGGTTTTCTTAGGGGGCCAAACCCGAAGCCTTCAACCAACAGGTCTGATCCATAAGATATTGGAGATGCAGTCTCATCGTAGCTGGTGACCAGCGATTGCGGCGAGAATATAGCTTATGGACGAAACAATCAGATTTACGATAACAGGTCTTGGATTTCTGCGCGAAATTCATTCACCCATTTGGCCAAATAGTCTTGGCACTATAGCTGATGTCAGTTCGTGATGAAAACCTTAAATTTAATTCCTAACCATCAACTGTAAATCATAATAAGTAGACACTCTCAAGGTCACTCTAGCGTCGATGAAAGGTTGTTCACAAATTATAGTCTTACCACGATTGCTTCATATGCCACTTGCTCGCTCAGGATAATAGAGCCCATGGTTCGAAATCAGTTTTTCAACTTCCCTAGGTAGACTGTGTCCACCAACCAGGTTAAAGCGCCGGACATTCGCTTTTCGTCCTCTCAATTTCGTAAATAACACCTACCGCCACAAGAAGCCAGTGAGTAGGACTTCCCTAACAGTGACTGTATGTGCTTAGCCGTAAGAGAGCATTTCGAAAGGGGGAGCTGACTCCTCACCCTCGGTCGTACTAGGGCATTTAGGGGCTCCCAAGGTAATCTAGTCTTCAGTTATACGGATAGGTCTATCGACCTATATTAATCCAATATTTTCCTAACCAAGATGTGAAACCACCCAATCCCCCAATTTCGGGTAAGCTCCTATAGAAAATTTTGGGGAAATGGCACCGAAACCCCAGAATCTTATTACACTTTGAGGAAGTTCGTATGTATTTATTTATGAAACCGCAAAATTTTGCGCAATTTCAGTGAAATAATCCAAAATGTCTTATTTTAACGCAATACTTCCCCTCATTTTTCGACAGATATCACGGTAAAACATGCAGGTTGGAAACTGTAAATGAAAGCCTCGAAATCATTCGAAAAGCAGAACCTAAGGAGCTCTGTTGCTTGGACATTAGGCATGATATGGACGAAGAATAACAATGAAACGACGACAGATAATAAATCTTAATACGAAGCAAAACATACATGGCAGTTGGGTGACCTCAAATCCCACAAACGAATGGTACTATCCATTGAGCCAGACAGGAACGTGTCATCAATAGGTGACATACACAACGAAACGACCCTGTGTATACGAACGTAAATTCTATTAGCTTACCTTTTAGTGTGACTCTGGAAGTACCTGATGTACTTGTTATCATGCAAAGAAAGGTAACGTATTGTATCTTGAGAATGTTAGTATCAAAAAGTAATTACCATCAATCTTTGTAGAAGCGTGAATCGCAGTCGTCGGACTGTGAGTGAATTGTATCAAGTTTACTCCATATTTCTTGCTGTTAAGTGTACGTTTAGGTCTATGGTCGAATATGAGGACATGATAAACGTGATAATTACGTTCCGCTAGAACAATCGTAAGTCACCATCTGATCATCATCGCTGCTAGAAATAAGCGTCTCACCATTACTCGAATAACTGAGGGAATTGATACGGTCTGAATTTTCTTTAAAATATTTCACAGGTTTAAAAGTTCGGATGGTAGAATCAGTCAGCTTCATTTGTCCCCAAAACAAGATAAAAGGTAACTCCTCAGCGGCAACGCTCCTAGGGGGTTGCGAGCACTTGAAGGTCAAACTGTCGCAAAATGATTGGTGCGTCACATCGACAATCCGTGAAAATTTTCAGAAGCGGTTAAATCAAGACATTTTCAGATATGAATTGAGTTCAGCCACACTATGTCTGATAACGTTCATTCTTCAAGTAACGAAAACAATTCCATCGTGATGATGCATGATATAGGACGAATCTTTAATGATATTATGTTATGAGTTTCAGTTTGGAAAGGACAGGAGGCTTGATGGCCTGTGTTAGTCCTCGCAATGGTGATCTCCCAGTTGATCCAACTTCCTTTTGAAAGAGTAAACGAACGAAGCCTCAACCACGTACTGAGGTAATGAATTCCACTCGTTGATGATGCGATGGGAAAGTCGATAGTCAACTGACAATTAATTTGTCCCGAGTCTGTGAATAATTTGTAGTGTCCTCGTAAATTCCCTGTTTTGGAAGACAAGAAAAATTAGAGCATATCAGGTACAAATTTGTCACTAAGCAATTTTAAAACTGTAATCAAGTCGCCTCTAGTTCTTCTATATGACAACGGGAATAGGCTTAGCTTGGCCAATCTAGCAGCATACGGAAGTTTCGCTATTCCGGGAATCAGTTTAGCTGCTGTTCTCTGAACCTTTTCCAGGAGCTCACTATCTTTTTTTAAGCAGGGCCTATCCGCTTGTATGCAGTACTCAAGTTTAGGACGTACGAACACTGTATACAAAGTCAAAAACGTCTTAGCGTCGACATGACTAAAAGCCGGCTTTTAGTAGGGTCGTACGTATTGGCCATAAGGTTCTAAAATCTTTGACAGCTATTGCACGGCAGTGTGCAGTAGTCTTGGCTAACGATGACTCCTGAGTCATTATATGTCTGGACGACAGGTAGCTCAATGTTATTCATCGTGTACGTATTTGTATCTTGATGACCGATATGCATCACAACACACCTGGAAGTATTTCACGGCAACTGTCAAGTTTGAGACCATTCAGATGATTTTATCCAGGTCATTTTGGAGTTATATGCTATCACACTTACATCGTTTTGCTCTCCACATCTTGACATCGTCAGCGTATAGCAAGACCGATGATGATATTAGAAGAGGAAGGCCATTTATATGCAAGAGGAATAACACTGGCCCCAAGACTGTACCCTGGAGCACTCCACTAAGCACAGTTCCCCAGCTAGATAAATTTGAGTTTACCCGTACTCTTTGTTGACGCCCAACTAAAAAGTATTTTATCCACATAAATAGATTGCCTCCAATCCCGACATTTCTCAACTTATATAACAGCCGGTTGTCAGGAACCTTGTCAAAAGCTTTGCTGAAATCAATGAAGGCAACGTCTACTGATAACTTCTGGTCCTTGACAGCGCGCCAGCTCTCACGAGCCACCAATAGGTAAGTTAGACAAGAATAACCTATTCTGAAACCGTGCTGCTTCTCCGAAAGGATCGGGTTTTCATCGAGGTCATTAGTGTAACAGATCCGAAGCCTACTTAAATGGCTTCTTGCTTCACCCAGATTGGCTTCGACATCACTCTCTGTCGAAGCCGTACAACCCGAAAATTTAAAATTTATGTGTTTTTTTCGCCAGCGTCTAATCCAGTTTGTAGTTCTTTTTTGGCTTCCCGTCTTTTTACGTGGTCTGCCGACGGCAAATCCTTACGGATAAAAACTCCTGAACCCTTTAATTTATGTCTATTCTGTACCCATTCGTCAACGTTACTAGTAGAAGCAACCAGAGTTGAGTCAAACATACTGTGTGATTGCGGAGGATTGTCGACAATTTGGAGGTCTGGTTATGTTTTGCGCTAGGAGCCGATCTAACCTTGCTATTGTGGCTTCTGGGCGCTTCCTGCTGGATACCATTTAGAAGACGGGGACAGAAGAAGCTTCTTTTCTTTTGTTTTCAGTCAAGTCATACCTCTTTGAAGACTTTTTCCTCATTTGGTCGGTATGAGTCACCTGTTTTCGAACTCACCTGAGCGAGTGCTGTCCGATGTGTCCAGACCACGCTTGCCAAAACACTATTTCGCAGCATTTGCCAATCAGATGGCCTCGGTTAGCAAGCTGTTTACATCCGAACAGCATTGTTGACAAAGCCGTATGCCACCGTTTCCACAGAAAAGTTCGAAAGCAGCAGGCCTTAATTTCGTGCAAACTTCGTGGTGCCAGCCTTTGCATTCATTGCATTGCATTCCGCTTTCAACGGTATATCGAAAGCCCTGACGTTGACAATTACTTTTTTGCAATGTTCAGTCATCAAACATTGGACTTCTTTAAAAAAACTGGATACAATAGTACTCAGAGACAAAAATGATCTATGAACAAAAAAGTGGAAAACTGTAAGTCGTTGGAACCAGAAGTACTAACAGATACAATAGAAAACAAACAAATCAAAAGTACCGATGATAAACTGCTTTCGAAACAGAATCGATGCTCTAATCGCATACTTTAATTGAAATAGATTCAATTACAGTGAAAGCAGTAGTCTTGATACGTGATAAACGATTAAAACAATAGAATTTATTCAGCGAGGAAGAATATCACTGTCTTATCAATTAGCGCGCGCGTTCAAAAAAGGAAGGATCCACGAACTCTCCTGCAAGTGGGTGTGTCATTCTTCAGACAAGTTGAGCTGCAGTGTATTTAATGTCAACTTTCACAGCATTGTGAGTACCGAGTAAAATGAGTTGAAGAGCGTCGGTCCATTGTGAAATGTTTGCAGCTGGGAGTGGAGCTTCAAGCTGTCGGTAGAAGTGTCCTGCCAATTGGTTTGCTTGTGGGTGGTAGGCTGTCATTCGGAATTGCGTGAAGGTGAAAAGAGTGAAATCTTGGCATTTCACAGAGTGTTGGAAGTGCTGTACGGCACAATACACGTCTGTAAGTTCCTTTTCAGAACTGCTATACCGCGATTAGGTGTTTAGCAAGCGTTTTGAGAAGAATGCCAAGGGTTTCTATGTCCGGTTAACCCACACATAGCTACCACTTTGATCTTCAGATAGGAACGTCATGAGTATCAAGGTGTGTCCCAGAAAATCTAGCATGACGGTGCCGACTTGACACTCCCGAATGCCTGCAGTAATGCTGTGTTTTTGAGACGCAAGAAAATGAATCAGTATTTCCGTCTACCAACCTCCATTTTCATGTGCCGATGTGTAAATTGTAAGGTTGTGGCAGGTCTGTACCAATGATTGATATTGAAACATATGCAACAACAAAAACTTAGTGGATGCTTTGGAGTCAGATTACGTTGAGATACACATACCGTCCATTGGCGATCAGTAAGTTGAAAACTGACTCATTCAGCCAGTTGTTAGGATTTGTAAGAAAAACTCTAACTTCTGAGTCGGTGTCGACGAGGTTGCGAACATTCATAATCACATCAGTATTATATAAGAGACGGTTATATTCGTCGACTACGGTTGCCACTGTGTGCACCTGAGAAGTTTCCTGAATCGTTTTTCAAGTTAGTAGGTTTAAGGCTCGGGAACTTGAAGTTTTCCGAACGTTTGAGATTTTCAACACTTTTTATAGTACCATCACAAATCACGATTACCTGTCTCGTGTGATCTAGAGACAGACCAATTTCTTGAAGTACTCCCTCGAGGAGTTTGGGATCGTCCACGTTTAGAGTATGACGAAGTTTGTTACGTCATTTCTTGTTGTATAGGGTTTTTCTCGGAGCTAGAAGTTCTGTTGATCTTTAATATTTGATCGGCAGATGCAGCCAGCTCGTCTATATCGTTGTTTTGAAACGAGACTCTTTGCACTTATTGGGGATGCTTAGATTAGAAGAGCTGTTTAACCAGGTCATCGTCAAAAATTCGTTGACCAATGACCTCTCCCTTTCGTCGCAACATTTTTGTTGCTATGACACATTGGAGCTTCACGTTGTGGTAAAGTTGGTCTAATTTTCCCTGGTCGGTTGGGTATCTGCATTTTAGAATAGCCCGTTTTAAAGTGTTGTAAGGTTCCGAGACACTACTGGTAAACATACTAGGTGTGGCGTACCTATTGAAATATCGAGGTAGTGCTTTCAATACTGCAAAGAATTGTACATGTGAACCTCTCACGTCATACTCATGGAATTCACATTCTACGTAGCAGAACCAGGCTTTTTTATTGTGAAACTAGAATGTTATTGGCTGACATGGGGAGTCGAAAAAGGTTTAATCTAAAGTAACTTAGATGTCTGTTTCGTCATGATGATTTTAAAATATACCAATAAACAAAAATTATCCAAAAATATCAAAATATTAAATTAGATAAAAATCGAAGTTGAAAGATTATGTTTGATGTCTTTAAAGCTAATGTAAATGACGATCTGAAACCCATTCACACTAGAAGTTTGGAATGAAAAAGTTCAGCGTGTGGAAGATAGTCGCTTCGTCGTGAAATATGTGGTTCGAGATGACTAGTTGCTATGACGAACATGCAGCCCGGCGTACTAAATGATGATCAGATGTGCGCACTTGACCGAGCGTCTTCAGGTTGCATGAGTCTAGTAAAAATAGTGAAGTCGACACCAATGTTGAAGACTTACAGAACGTGTATTTTTGGGACTAAAATTCAGCTGCACAGGGGACGTATAATGTCTTCATCTAACTATGTATAGTAGTACAATGTAAAAAAGACAAAGTTCTCATTTTGTTTTTTTTGGTAAGATACTTAATATAGGAAGCAGTTGAGCAGTTGTGCTTCTGACTGTTTCGGAATTATCTGATTAATAATCTAATCTGGGTCTTGTCAACTTTTTATAGTGTTTTGGCATAAATAGAGGTAGCTAGAACTCGGTGAACACAATTGAATTCATTGTATTGCAATTCTGTTTCAAGGCTGCGGCAGACATTTCAACGTTTAGTCATTGATTACGATGAACAGTGAACTATTTTGACTTTGTCAAGCAAGTATCATCTGATTTATTGCTTTTCGCTGATGATGAAAGTTTGGAGATAACTCTGGACCAAAATAATAAACCGACACTCCAGGAGAAGTGACTAGACTTCAAAGTTGGGCAGACAACAACGAAGTT